ATTTGTCTTAATATATTACAACAAAACACAAGTATCTACTGCAGTACGGTGGGTATTATATTTTATTAAAAATTGCAGCAGCTATTTATTTTTATTAAATGCAGCAGTTTAGAGATTTAAGAAAAAAAGATACTAGTCAAAATCGCGTTACTTTTTTACCCGTAAAATTACAATGGAAAAACGTTTTCCGCGAATTAACGTATTTTGCGTGTATAGTAAAGTCGTTTATTTATTATTCATAAATATATTATTGCTCGTGTATGATTTTTTTTTTTTTCTAATTATACATGCGTCTAGAATATTCCTCGTATACATATAATCGAAATCTATTAATTTTATTACGTTTGCAGTACAATATTATTAATACCATAATAATTGTTTAATAATATTACAATAATATTGTTTGACAAATGTATAATATTCTAAATTTATATTAGTCTACACACGCGCAAACTGTGTGATTATTATAAACAGCGCAGTGGGCAAATCTGACAATGTATACTGTACTGGCTGATTATATTTTTATCGTGAACCCGAAGTAATAATATCCTAATAAAAATTCGAGTAAATTTTATCCGTTTTTTTGCCAAAATTCTGCGTTTATTTACAATATATTTTCGAGAATATCACCGTTATCCGTTTACACGGGAAAACTGTGTGTTTTCGATTTCGCGAAGTATGTACCACTACGATGTGTATATTTTAAATTTTTAGTTTTGATACGCAGCAAGATATATCTATTGGTTTTACTATGATGTGTGGTTATTTTTATTTATTTTTTTTTTCTGTCTGTAAACAATTTTTCTACCAGAAATCTTTCTCCGATGTGAACGTTTTTTTTTTTTTGTTTTGTTCAATTACTAAAAAACTACGAGGAAAATCACAAACCGTCTTTCTTACTCACCAAATAGATTAAGATTGCAACACAAATGTCGTTTTTTTTTTGAAGCAATATTTCTAGTAGAAAACATAAAGCATACAAATTTTAAATAAAAAAATCATAACGTCGTAAAATTATCTGTTTTCGTTTTTTCTCGGGTTTTCCTAATTATTATGAAAATCAGAAAATCAAAAAAACGTCTTACTTCAAGAGTAACAAGGTCAAAAGTTCAACAAAAAAGATCTCTAGGCATTTTTTGATTGAAGCAATATTTCTAGAAGAAAACTTAGTTCGCAAAAATTAAAAACAATAAAATGAATGGCACCGCGGCGCGCCATTCATATTTACAGTTTCACCTATACAATTTTTCCCGGTTTTCCTGATTATTATGAAAACCCAAAAATCCAGAAAATCAATAAATTACCTACTTAATGCACAAGCTAGATAATATTTCCTTTCAGATTAGGTGCTACACTCATTGATTCATCGGCGCAAGATTTCTGGTAGAAATTTTGCTCACAGACACAATAGATAAAAAATACAAAACACATCTTAGTAAAACCAATAGTGTAATTTCAATGTATTTATGTATTTATTGCTAAATATGAATAATATTTTATAAATTTACAAAATTAAAAAATAAATCTTATATATATAACTAATAAATAAATTTTATTAAAAATAAAAATATTATAATTAATACCTATTCTTACATAGTATTATACACTATATTATATTATCATTAAATAGTATTCATTAATACGTTATAGTATTAGTGAATAAGTATTAAGTATTTTAACTTATGTGTACATGAAATAATAATAGATACTGTCTTACAGAAGAAAATTACAAAAGTTAAAAAAAATGCAAAAAGCTGGTGAGTTCGTTTATAGGACTCATTATGCATTACACAAAATTAACGACAAAAAAAAAGAGTTCTCGCACCCTCAACTGTATAATTTTAGTTCCATCTACGGCTGCACCTCGTCCCCAGTATCAGTTTTTTTATATGTCTGTTAAAAAATGTATAGAATTTGTCTTGTAGAATTATTGATATAATTGGTGCATTGAGGAGGTTAAACCGGCCACTGTTAGTATGATTTTTGTTGATTTCTGAGTTACTTAGGAAACAAAGAAAAATCTACGACTAATAATACTCTGTTCAGAATTGCTTTTCATTAGTAGTGGTTTATCGTTGCGTAAAGATATGAATTAAATTACTTTATATTCTCTTCTAATTTTCCCTTTAAACCGATAAAAGAAATTTAATTTAACGCGTTTCCCCACTTTTACCTTTATCCCTATCCCAGTTGTCAAAATTGTTGCTTGGTAATTTATCTTTTCTAAAGGGTTCCTTGTCTGTAACAACAAAATTAAATAATAAAACTGTTTTTTCGTCCATGTTGTCATAAGTAAATTCGTAAATCAAGGAAACAAAAAAAAATTCAATTTTCATTTCGAAAATATCCTGAAAACCTTGTGCCAGTAATACTTTAGGGATTTCGAGATAAAAATATACAGCGACTTTCTTTTTTTGTCGAATATCAAGTGAGCAAAATTTCATTAAGATGGGAATAAAACTGTGTGTTTGTATTGCGGACGGACATACAAACAGATGTACATACCGATAGAATTTCAATTTTACATATAACAGAATATTCACGGTTCTACAACATGATATTATAATCATAACTGTGTGTGAAAGAGACAGCTGAATTTTAAACTACTTCAAATGCTCATAATAGGACTCTACTATCCAAAACCAACTCGATTAAATATTCACTTATTGTCTATGGTTTTTGAATTCAACTGTAAAACCTAAAAGAATATTGACACTTTGTACAAATTGTGCAATTTACGAGGTAATATTTGCTTTTTCAGTTATGATAAAACCGAAAATAATTAATGTATTTATCGATGTTAGGTCTGATATTTTAATTTGAATATTATTTATACGTGCAAAACACATAATAAATAACACATCCAAATGAAGGGAAGGGGTGTTAAAGGTTCTCAAACCCCGCCTCCTGGATCCGTGCCTGCCTCCATGTAAAATTTCGAGTTTCTAGACCCACGGCGGTTTGGGATCCGCGTTGCTACAGTCGGTTTCTTATTTTATTATAATATATTATAATAGCCGATGTCGATTGTTATATTTTTTGATAGATCGTTTTTTCTCTCTCGTTCGGTTGAATTGAAAGTAAAAGTGATCGGGTTTTTTTTCCGCTCGGTTATATACAAATGTACGACCGGCAGCCAAAAAATGTTCGATAATATCGTATAGACCTTCTATGTCTGACTGAGACTGTCTACCTCTGTATATACAACCTATATAACTGCGTAGCTCAGCGGAAACAGCGCAATAATTATTGTTATTATTGTAAATTTCACCGCCGTGTTATTATTTATTATTTTTCGTTCTTTATTATCGTTATTACTGGTTGCGGAATAAAAAAATTACGCGCAGTTAACAACATCACTGCACTTTACCGTTTAAAAATAATAATAATATACGTACGCGTAATAACCATCGACAAAAAAACCCCGCCGTCACTGAATATGAAATATGTCACAAAACAGAAAAAAAAAAAATCGTCTTTCCGTATGTAATATAATTATTGCGTGTTTACACCGCAGAGTATTATATTATAATAACCTATAACTATAACCGTTATGACGTTTTGGAGGGAAAAAAAACGAATGAACGAAGACGCGCGTCCTCGATGACGTGCAATTTAATTTAATATATAGGTACCTCTACTCTAAGTAATACCCGGCTGAAAAACAAACGCGCACTGACGATATTATCATTATAAAATATTAATGTTTGCATCCTTATACGATGACGTTCGCATTATTATTATTATGTGTGTATACATTTATATACTTATATATGCATTATATATATATAATTTACAAAAAAATATTATACAAGGTGTTTTTTTTTTTTTTATCTTAACCCAACGATATTATATAGTGGTACAAAAGCGTATTAAAAAAAGCGGGTTGAAAATCAAAAATTCTCATTTATGGTTTACGAGGAGTTTGATGTAATTTTAAAACAACGATATCGATAGGATCGGTGTCAGTTTTCCAAATTGCGCTCAATTTCGCATAAAATTTTATCTGTTTTGTTTACATTTTTTAATGTCCACCTTAATGATTTAGGACTTTTCCACCAACTACCCGTTGTCCATTTAAGGGCAAAAGATATAATTGTTTTTACGGACAAGTAAATATATTGCTTTTTAAACCAAAAATCCGGACAAAATTACAAAATTACAAATTTCAATTTGAATATGTATAATGATTTTTCAGGTCCAATACTAGAATACGTTGGAATTATTTTACTCGTTTTACGATTTCCGGTAAAATAATTAAATTTCTATTTTCACCGTATATTAGGTCCGTAAAGGATCAAAAGAATAGTTTAATCTGTTTTAAAAATTAAAATTAAACAGATTCTACGAGTATAACAAATGAAAAAAAAAAAAAAAAACAGAAATCAAATATGTTTTATAATTATCCGAGCGAATCGCTGGATTGTGATCAAAACAAAATCACCCTGTATAACCTATAAACACACATTTATTGTTATATACATGCTGCTACGCGCGTTACCGCCGGCTCAATTAAATGATTGAATATTCAAATTTATAATAATATTATGTTTAATGTTTATAGTACATATAGAAGTTTGCTGCCTTGGGATCGTATATGATGTGTATACTCTCGTATATTCACGCCACTCAAGGTGAGAAAAAATAAATAAATAAACGATGGCACGGCGGCGGCGCCGTGTGTTTGTCTGCGATGATTATTTTTAGATTCGTATAACATGACGTTGTTTTTCGTACATACCTTGAACGAGAGTGCCGGTTTTGATTCTGTGTGTTATTTTTTCCCTTGGCCGCCAAGATCGCGTTATTTTAACTGTCAATGTTTTCCAGTAGCGGCGACGGTTAAAACGACCGGTGAAAACGGTTAAATTATTATCGAAATAACTCTATCCTTTACCCGCGGCAAGAAACCGAAGAAAATGTCCGTTTGTCGAGGAATTTCGTTTTGCAGAACTTTATACTCGTATACTATATAGGTACGTTTAGAATTTTATTTTCGGGGCCGTTTGAATTTTCCGTTTTTTCTCGGACAGATTTTTCTGTATTTATAGACGAAACTTAGGTCTTGAGGTACCTACTACAATAGGGTAAAAAAGGAAATAGTGAAATCCTCGTTGTGATCAGAGTCTTTCGAATAAAATCGAAAATAACAAAAACCGTTATTGCGTCAATATTCTCGTATTCACTCACATTATTGGGAAATCTACAAGGGGAATCCAAAATCCCTCATCTCTCTTAAACAATAAGACACAGAATATCCTACGAAAATAAATTGCTACACTCGATAATAAGACCAACATTATTTCTAGTAGAAAAGATGTTTATAGACAGAAAAAAAGCACTCGTGGCATCCTGTGAAATCAACATTATACATTATAGATTCCTCACTCAGAATCTAAAACAAGCGATAACTATTGGAATAATAATATGACTGTCCTAATTTGGTTTCTGAATTACTTTGTAGAGGCGGCGACGAAAGAAAATTATTATATAGGCTAGCCCGAATAAAGAAATTTAGAGGACCTCAGAAAGTATAATTAACAGAAATTGTTAATAATTTACACTCGATGGGTTAAGTAAAAAAACAAAAATAATACATAAATGGATTTTAATAGTTTCCAATAAAGATCATCAACGAAAAGGTATGAAAATATAAAGTTATTGATTAAATGCGTATCGACATAAAGTACGTATACAGTGGCGAAAACCGGGGACCCTAGAGTCTTGTTTCCCGGGAGCCATGGTCCTCTCTAGATCCCACCTCACTAATCCGGGCTTTTATATACAGGCACAGTCAAACCTCTTAAAGTTTCAATGCGCCCGAAACTTGGCGTCAAGGCGTCGCCTCTCAATCGATCGGCGGTAATGTTGTTTGGCGATCAAAAGAAAAAAAAGTAATGATAGACCGTATTACACACGCGTACCTATAACCTATATACGCCTAAATAATAATAGTAATAATATCGTATTAATATCCTTCGGAGGGAATGACATCACTACGGTTATAGGTCGGCGAGCGCCGTAAAATCGACATTAATTTTTTATACGACGAAGATATAATATTATATTGTTGAAAGGAAAATGCTTTTTTTCTTTTTCTTTTTTTGACACGCGAGAAATATGACATGTTTGTGGGGCGTAGGTGTACACAATATTTGTGTACATACATACAGAGTGTTGAAAATATAATATCGGTTTTTATCGATATAAAATAATATTATGTTACATAGGTACGAGAATTATACCAGCTGTCTTGTCCGACCGTTGTCCGTGCAAATTAAAATCCTCCTTTTTTGCCGAATTCTTCCGAAAAACACTCAGATTGTTGCACTGTATTGCGTTTGTTATATTATATTACCTATTTCTGTGTGTATCAGTTTTTTTCTCGTTACTTTTACACGCGTTTGATGACTTCCTCTGGGCTAAATGGGCTCAAACTCAGAAACCCTTTATAAGTGGATCGAAGCGATAAAATGTTGGTGGAATTACAATAAGAATTTCACAGTGTCCTTGTGGAAGGAAGTTCTTTTAGGAAATACTGGGTTTTAAGCATCCCTACTGACTAAAATTTAATAAGACTGGTAAATATTATATATAATTATATATCTAATTTGGAGCAATCATAAAAAAAAATTAATGAAATATTTTTACGTTAAAAAATTGTTTAAGGTGTTGTTTCTCATTTGAAATTTAAAATCATATTTGAAAAAAAAATCATTTGAAAACCGAAATCAATCAAAGGAATTCAATTTTGAACGTAATTATATTCCCGTTTCCTGCACTCCCGTCCCTACAGTCACAATTAACCTTTATTATAGATACTTTCTTATCCATAAAAACTAAACTAACTATACATTATAACTAACTTTTTTTTTTTATCCTTGATGACACCAAGGTAACCAAAAATTAAAACAATCAAAACGACGTGTATAAGTTATCCTTTAGAATAGTTGTTCTCAACCAAAGTTACATGGACCCAATGTAGAGTTACATAAAATCCTCCGAGAAAATTGTATCGATAAGAAAACTAACTTTAAAAATTCAATACAATTTAATTTAAATATTTATTATTATTATTTTTTTAACTCATTTATTGAAAAAAATGTAATTTTTTTATAGCACTTTATTAATACATAAGCTAAATTTGCAAAGTTAGGTACTAAAATACTAAATGGTAGCATTTCTTTTATTCTCTAAGTAATAAAAAATGTATCCGACTTCTTATTAATATGCAAAAATAAACAGGTACATAAAATCGCATTAAAACCTAAATATTCATAAAAAAAAATTGCGCGTAAAAGAAATACCTATCGAAAAGATAGAGGAATGTTTTGATTCTTAATGCAAATTTGACGAAACATAATTTACACCTCACTGTATAATAAATTATATTTCCTGTATTCTAAATATGCCTGTGTTAAATTCAGACAAATCAAAATTACATAATACTAAATTATAAAAAAAAAATATCGCCAATATATGCACTGAAGCTCTTCTTCCAGCCGGGAACCGAAGACATAATATCATAACATGCCAAGTATATAGGAGTATAATAATCGGGGTCAGAGCACTGATAATGTTTGAGGATATTTTTAAAAATTCCATTTCTGACCCGTTTTATACTGTAGTGAGGCGCATCGATTTTTAAATGACGACCTAATTTTAGATTCCGAGTGTAGTATGGAACGGCAAAGATATATGTATAATGTATATACATATATATATATATATATATATATAGCGGCAAGTGTTTTATTTTCAATATCTCAATCTAATTGTAGAAAATTATTAAAATTAAAAACTTCAATCTAATTTACATAAATAAAAAGTGTAAAAGTTACTCTGCGGTCAAAGTAATGATTGGGTGGGGTGGTATCCCTAGATAGTATCCATCCAATTTGTATTATTGACATTTTTTATACCTCCATATATTATGTTGTCCAGAATAATTTACTCCCTTATAATTACATGATAGTGTTATTCACCTTCTCCATCAGTGTGTATAAGCTATAATTATATATAATATAAGAAGTATACAAATGTAGGATATCCCTGCACTTATTTTTAACCACTTCGACCAATGTACATGTACTGTGGTATTTCTTAGTTTACTGCTGAAATAATTTAAATATTTTATTTTATTTTTAAAATATGTCATCTACCTAGCAAATACAAAAAAAAAATTAAAAAATATTATAAAAAAACAAAAACGTTTTGACGTGTACTGCAGATGCTAACCACTCTCGTAACATACAATTTATGTGAAGAAATATTGTTTATTGAACCAAATATATACCTATGTATAGATTTATTATTTGTATGAGTTATCTGCAAGAGCAAGAGGGCGGAGCTACAAAAAAGGTCTTTCTTCGAGAAGGCCACTTTTCTGAGAGGTGTTTAGATCGCTTATTGGCCACCTGGAGGCTGAGAACTCCCACTAATTTTAAAACCCAATCAATTTACTGGACGCCATAAATATTACCCAGCCATTATGCATTCAACGTTTATTTGTTGTCAATCTTCGTTCGTTTTAAGCCTATGATTTCAGGCTTCAGCCATCGTTAAATTAAGTCGATTTATATTTTTATTTTTTAGCCGAATGATATTTTTAGTGGATTGCGTGTAAATGTCTAAAATTGTATTACCGAGTATTTTTAGAGTAAGATCAAAAGAGAGTCAAGAGAACTTAAGTTCCAGGAACTCGAAGAAAATTTAAAAAATATTACCATTCAGCCGTATCAGCAACCATTACAGCTGGGTATTGTTAAAAAATACTCTTATTTTTTTTTATTTTTCTGTTTCGTTTCTCAATGTTTTCACACAAAATAATAAATAATCGAATCAGTAATGATTCAAAGAAACCATTTGGGTAGACTATATTTTTATTGTAATAACACTGTTTTGTCTTCAAGTCTTGGAAAGACTCTAGATTTAGGACTGTAATATAGCCGCATTTCCTGCGTTCCTTTATTTATGCCATTGCCCATGTACCGAAAGAAATAATTTGATTTTCGTAACAGAATTGTTAAGAACCCGTTTCCGCTGTTGATGTCGGGGATGTGTGTTGCAGGATTAAATGTAGCCGACCACACTACAGATTTTGTTGAATCGATCACACCAATTTTTTTTGAAAAACGGCCGTAGCGTTTCACAGTTTATTTCTGACAAACATAGCAGACATTCTATCGTTCAGTGGTGGCGTGAATTTTTTTATTTTATTAGGCAAACATAGATGCTAGAGGTTAACCACCGCCGTTAAATGTTATTAGACAGAGTTTTGAAGACGAAGCCTCTCCCCAATCTTTACTAATTTACTATTCTACAATTAATATATGCTTTAAGTCATACTGACTTTATATTTTATGAATATCAAAAATGAATAAAATTGGACATTTCATGTATTTTAATAATACAATATACCTGTTTTTTATTTCGCTATCCGTCAATACAAGAGAACACTAGACTAATGACTAAAATGCCGAGCCATGTAAAACATGTGATATTTAATCGACAGAGTTTAGGAGTCTGGAGGATTTTTTTTTAAATTAATTTATACAATTAACAAATCATCAATTTTATTTTATCTTCTTTGTAAAAATTGTGGTTTATTGAAATGTTTGCTGGTTACCTTAACACTGAATATTTAATACATGGAAGTTAAAGTGAATTAGTTAATATAATGTAAATATAATAATAATAAATATATATATTTAATTTATATCAATAACAATAAACCTTTATTTAAACAATAAAGAATTAGTTGTCAATAATTCGTATTTTTAATCTTGGGATACTACCACCTAATAGGTCATGAAATCTTGTCGTCTCATGAAATACCCTATCTACACTGTTATTGTATACATCATATTTAGTTCATGTATATAATTTCACCGATTATTAGGGTTCATTTAATTTATACACATTTTGGGGATGCAATTCGCATTCTGTTTTCGTTTGTTTAGTTTTAAACCGATATTCACAAACCGCCGCCGTCTCACCGACCGAAAATGCTGGTACAAGAACGCTGTATCGTATTTAATGCGATGTTTGCGAACACTCCGTATACTGGAATAAATACTGTATTTGTATGTACGCATAAGAAAACAAATCTTTACGCGATGATGATTATAATAATAATAATAATAATAATAATAATAATAATAATAATAATAATAATATAATAACATTTCATGTATTTAATATTCTCGGGTCGTAAAGGCTATTATCGACCGCGTATATTGATCGATGGCT